GTGCCCCCAGCCCCCCTCGTGTCCCCGTCCTGTCCCCCACGGAGCCCAGCCACCCCCATGTCCCCCATCCTCTCCCCTGTAAACCCAAGCCACCCCCATCCACCCCAGCCACTCCCATCCCCCGTGTCCCCATCCCATCCCCTGTGGACCCCATCCATCCCCACGTCCCCCACCCCGTCCCCGCAGTCACCCCGGGAGTGACGTACCCTCACGTGACTGCAGGGTACCAGCGCCCTCGCTGACGGTGGAGGAGCTCCGCGCCTTCCTGGAGCAGATGAACCAGCTGCCCTGTGTCATGCACCAGATCGGGGAGGTCCAGGTGAGCCGGGGGGGTCCCTCCTCATCCCCCCACGTCCTTTGCGGGGGGGACGCGGTGTCACCGATGCTGTCCCCCCTCCTCCAGGCCTTGCTGGAGCGCGTGGAGGCTTTCCAAGCGGAAGCACGGGCAGCACTGGAGTCGGCCCCCCCAGGACCAGGGGCTCTGCGCGGGCTGCTGGAACGAGGAGCCCGGCTGGGTGTGGAGGTGCCGGAGAGCCGACGGTTGGAACGGCAGCTGGCCCAGGCCGCTTGGTTGGAGGAGGTGACGGCCACCCTGCGGTCCCCTCGTGCCCGCGTCCCCCTCCCCGTCATGCGGGGCCTCATTCAGGCCGGACGGACCGTCGCCCCCAGCCCGGCCGTCGACGTGGCCATGGCCGAGCTGCAGGAGCTGCTCACCATCGCTCAGCGTTGGGAGGAGAAGGCTCAGATGTGCCTGGAGGCCAGGTCAGGATGCGGCCGCTGTGGGGAAAAGGGGCTGGGGGCTGCACCCCAGGGCGTAACGGGGCTGGGGGCCAAATCCCAGAGCCCCCCGGGGCGGGGTTAAAGGGACCAGGGTCAGACCCACGTCCCTAGGGCGGGATAAAGGGGTTGGGGCTGCTCCTCGTGGTTTTAGGGGGGGGGATAAAGGGGCCGGGGGCTGCCCCCCCCCGGCTCTAGGGGGGGGGTAAAGGGGGCCGGGGATGGCCCCCCCCGGGGGCACGGGG